ATTGTTCCGCTGAATTGCCCAACCTTGCTTCTGGGAGATGCTAAATAAGGATGGTCTGCAGGGAGCGGACAGAAAGGAAAAGATGGTGCCTGTGACCACCTGAAGGCAGGACAAGGAGCAATGGATGGAAATTATTCAAGGAGAGAACCAACCAAGGAGAAACTTCCTGACAGTGAGAACAACTAACCAGTGGAAGTTGTGGGTGCTTCAACACTGGAGGCTTTTAAGAAGAGACTGGAGAGCCATTTGTCTGGAATGGTATAGGGCAGTGATGTCAAACCACATGCATGCTGGAGCACCTGAAACCTGAAGACTAGATGGCGTGCATACCCACAGAGAGAGCTCTGTGTGCCACCTCCGGTATGTATGCCATAAGTTCACCATCACAGCCCTATACCGTTCCAGACAAGTCACTGTCCAGTCTCTTCATGAAAGCCTTCAGTGATGGAGCATTCCTGATTCCTGAAGGCAACTTCTGTCCCACTGGTTAATTGTTCTCACTGTAGGAAATTTCTCCTTAGTTCTAGGTAGCTTCTCTCCTTGATTAGTTTCCATCCGTTGCTTCTTGTCTTGCCTTCTGGTGCTTTGGAAAATAGAGTGTGAGCATTTAGTTTTTTGCTGGAATCGAGTGATGGAAAGCAATGGATGTCTATTTCTATCTTCTTTGTGGAGGCCCCTCAAATATTGGAACTCTTCTATCATGTCAGCACTGGAGACTTGCAGCTCAGATTAGGTAGTCCCACAATTACAATTGTAAAGACTGATTTAAGAAAACCTCTAGGCACTAATGTGACCAAGAAATGACGAGTTATGGTTTTCATTTAAAAAAAAAAAATCATCCTGAAAACGTTCTCCTTTCACGAGGGTCTGGCTGCTTAGAACTGCCCACCAATGTGACAAAAAACTCCACTTCAAGTGTTCTATGGCTTGCACGTTTTCTCCCTCCCCTTCTTTGATCTCCATTCTTCCAAAAGAATATGCAGAGCTTGGCCTGAATTCCCATATTTCCATAAAGAAAGCATCAGCTAGTATGTGGTCTTGTTGGTGTTTCATTTTTCAGAGGGTCAGCATTTTGGGAAGAATTGTTGGAGGAGAGATGACGCCACAAAAATTAGCATAATGCAGAATAATGCAGAATTCTCTCTCCTGCTTCCCTCTGTCTTTCTGTAGGAGGAAAATCTTTGGGGCTGAGATCCATGGGAAGCCGTGAATTAGGAGAGGGTGGACAACTATGCCCCCTTTACAACCTGTGGACTTCAACTCCCAGAATTCCTGAGCCAAGAATCAAGAGTGAGCATCTGAGAGCCCAGCCAGCCAACTCTTGACCTTGACCAAAATGGTTGGTTCATAAAACTCAGGGGTAGGTGCTCAGGATGTTACTAGATTTTCCATCTCATGCTAAAAGGTAGATTTGGGAAACTCCTTCTAAAGTATGCAGCCAACAGGATGGGCGGCTGCTGCATTTTCTCACATAGTGTACTTCTAACTTATGTCTGGTGCTGACAGGAAATAGGTCTCTTGGAGGCATTGATAAAAATGTCAATGCTGGGTTTAGTTCTAGGGCACCGGAATTCCCTACAACTGCTGTTCTAATTTTCATTTATTTGTGGGCAATCCTCAAGTTATGACTGTAGTGGAGACTGCCCATTATGGTCTTAAATTGTGACAGTTGTCAAGCAGGTCAACCAAATGACCAATCTGAATTTATCACCTTTCTTGTGACGGTCATTAAGTGAACTAATTGTTCTCTATGGATTGACTTTACTGGAAATTGGAACTAAATGCTAGTTTCTGCCAAAAAATTGTAAAATGCAGTCATGTGACCACAGGACACAACAAATGGCCGTAGAAGAGCTGTGGTGGCACAGTGGTTAGAATGCACTATTGAAGGCTAACTCTGCCTTCCATTGCCAGGAGTTCGATCCTGACCGGCTCAAGGTTGACTCAGCCCTCCATCCCAAATTGTTGGGGTCAAGAGGCTGACTCTGTAAACTGCTTAGAGAGGGCTGTAAAGCTCTATGAAGCAGTATATAAGCCCCAATGCTATTATTATTGCTATTGCTAAATGCACGCTGGTTGCTAAGCACCCAAAATGTGGTCATAACTGTGGAGAGGAGGGGCAGCTCTCAGAACTTTGGAATGGGGTTGTAAGTACTCCCAGGGAGATCGGTTGTAACATTGAAGAGTTGTTAAGCCAACAAGGAAGACTCACAGTATTATAAAATATGGGAGAGATGGTATGAATGGATCAATCGATGGAAAAAAAATTAAAGTCAAATACAGTAAGAAATTAAGGGTAACAATTTACACTGTCATAAAGAAATTAAGGTAAATGTATATATGTATTTACATGTTCAAATATAGATAGATAATCCTGTTTGTTAGTTTTAGTATATATGTAATTTAGAATTGTACCTTCTTTTTTAGAGTTAAGAACGTTTTGTACAATCTTTTATCTTTTTAAAGGTTTGTTTTTAAAATAAAAAAAATGAAGAGTTGTTAAGCAAACAGTTGTAAATCAAGGACTACCTGTATTAGATATCTATGGAGATTCTCAGTCATCCAGGTCATGGTTACCTAGGAGTACCTAGGAGTACTCATTTCAAAAGATCTAAGCCCCAGAGCTCATTGTAAGAAACAACATTGCTAAAAAGGCATTAAGAGTTGTCAACCTTATTTTACGAAGTTTTCTCTCTGGTAACGCTCTACTTCTAACTAGGGCATACAAAACCTTTGCCAGACCTATCCTTGAATACTGCTCACCTGCCTGGAATCCACACTGTATTTCGGACATTAATACATTAGAGAGAGTCCAGAGGTATTTTACTAGAAGAGTACTCAACTCCTCTGCTCGCAATAAAATTCCTTATACCACCAGGCTTGAAATTTTAGGCCTGGATAACCTTGAACTACGCCGTCTACATTCCGACCTAAGCTTAGTACACAAGAATATCTACCTTAAGGTCCTACCTGTTAATGACTTCTTTAAGTTGAACCACAATAACACAAGGGCTATCAATAGATTCAAACTCAATGTAATTCGCTCTAATCTTGATTGTAGGAAATATGACTTCTGCAATAGAGTAGTAAATTTCTGGAACACTCTACCGATCCTGTTGTTAGTTTCTCTAACCCCCATACCTTTTACCTTAAAACTGTCTACTGTGGACCTTACATGTTTCTTAAGAAGTTCCTAAGGAGGCATGCATAAGCGCACCAGCGTGCCTACTGTCCCTGTCCTACTGTCCCCATTTATATGTAATCGTTTTATGTGTTTATGGCTATGTTTTGCCTATTTATATCCATTTATTTGTGCCATTTTTTTCATGTGTCCATGTCTATGTTTCTATTGATACTTGTTTCCTTGTATTTGTTGACAAACAATTAAACAAACAAACAAATAAATAAATAAATGGAACCAGTTACCTCCTGAGGTCTGGACCATCCCCACCCTATTGGCCTTCTGAAAAGCGGTGAGGACCTGGCTTTTCCGGCAGGCCTGGGGCCGTTGATCTCGCTGTTGCAATCCGCCAAGATCCGGCCATGAATGGTGCAAATGAGTTTTAATGTTTTTAATGTTTTTAATTCTTAAATGTTTTTTATAATGATTTTAAATGCATTGTGAGCCGCCCTGAGTCTTCGGAGAGGGGCAGCATACAAAATGAATGAATGAATGAATGAATGAATGAATAAATAAATAAATAAATAAATAAATAAATGATTGTCCCAAAGGTGCTTTTTCAAAGGGCAACTGGACTTCCTTGGCTTTTTTTCTTTGAAAATGTTTCACTTCTCATTCAAGAAGCTTCTTCAGTTCTGACCCGAATAGTGGAAATGGAAGGGTTTCTCCTTCCATTCTCCACTATTCAGTCAGAACTGAAGAAGCTTCTTGGATGAGAAGCTAAATGTCTTCAAGCAAAAACAAAGAAAGTCCAGTTGCCTTTTGAAAAAGCACCTTTGGGACAACCTGTATTAGAGTTATGTCCTTTTTCCAGGAATACATCCACCTTTTACCTCCATAGCCATTCCCACCCTTGTAGCCTTTGAGGTTTTTACCAACCAGTTCCAGACAGTCTTAAAATTTGATTGCTGCAAAACTCCTGGTGCCAGAAATAACAGTCATTGCAAGGCTGTGTCTTAGTTTAATTGTCTTTGATTGCACTGTTTTGCATCGGTTGTGCTGCTATGGTTCCCTGTACAGTAATCAGGGCCCTTTGCCTGAAGTGGTTTATACATTTGATAAATAAATAGCAATTGTTTGGTTAAAAAGTTACCCCTGACCCCAAGTCAGCTCCATAGGTGAGGCTGGACTCAACTTAGGTTTCTCTGCTGCTAGTCCAGCATCTCATGTTGGAACTGTAACGGGTGGGATGTCCACAGCAATTCACACTCATCAAGCGCTCCAGATGAGGAATGAATGAAACAGGCTGTTGACAGCAGATTGGCTGCAACACAGATTTTGTTGCTCTTTTAAAGGAAAGAGACTTTTCTTCTAGAAAAGGACCGCCTCAAATAAATGTGGTTTAGGATCCAATCTGGGCCAGAGGTTTAGCCTTCTGAGCTTCCAGACTCCTGCTGGAGCCCATCCTCAGGGAACTTCTCTCTCACCAGAATGTCTGCTTTGGGCTATTCTATGAGCCAAGGATTTGACAGCACAAGGAAACAAGAGCCAACGACTTAATAATCAGCCACCAACACCCCAATCAACAAGTAAAAAGCCACACACAACCAGGCACCACATAAATACTATGCCTAGAATAGCTCAGAGTACATGTATTCTGCTAGAGAGAAGTTCCCTGAGGATGGGCACAAGTCTGAAAGCTCAGAAGACTAAACCTGTGACCGACCCAGATTGGATCCTGGGACATGCATATTCGCCTTCATTCATGGTTTAGTTTGGTTAATTTCCAGTAGCAAATGTCCCACTCTGATATCCTTTTATGACGTTAAGTGCAAGTACCTCTTCTACTTAAAATCCAAGGAAGGAAAAACAATCTTACCTAGGGAAAATATTTCCCAAAGCAGCACACCAAAGGACCAGACATCACTCTGAGTTGTGTAGATTTTGTCAAAAATTGCTTCTGGAGCCATCCATTTCAGGGGCAGCCTGGCCTGGGAAAGGAAAGAAGTACAAAGTTGCTCTGTGTATCCAAGACGGATAGTTGGGCCAGTGTCCATTGTGGTGTGTTACAGTGCAAACTCAACCCCTTCCGTACTTGCTTGTGACATTGTGATGCAAGTAAAAAAAAAAGACGGACCTTTTGTTGCAATGTTGGGATGCCCATTGTGCCATTTTAGATGGTATCCTCACGGTTAGGAAAGAAGACTTAGTTGTGTTACCAATTTTAACTGGATATTAAATACATTGATCAAAGCATGTGCATCCTATTCAATATCACAAGGGTGGGGGAGATGGGAAGCAGGGATGAATAACATTTCTGATTAATGCCATCAAAGGAGGTCAGATATCAGGGCCCAAGAATCCAGAACGACACATAGAGTTATTTATGAGTAGTTTCCCTTATTGTTCTCCACCTATAGTCAGAACCTTGCCAGACTAAAGCAACTATCTGCATAGCTACAAAAATACTATGGGGCTGCTAGAGAGGAACCATTTCAACCCTCTTCCTGCTGATCACATTTTCCAAGCTCCTCTGCCTCTTTGCTCCATGGAAATCAGCCCCTCCCTCCTGGGAACCCAGACCACATTCCACTACATAAAGGGCGCAACTGGGAAAAGCGTCTTATGGCACCCAACCCCATACTTACATCTCCTTTCCGCACATAATCAGGATCTTTGTATATATCTCTGGCCAATCCAAAATCACAAATCTTCACCACGTTGTTTTGAGAAAGAAGAATGTTCCTGGCTGCCAAATCTCTATGAATGCACTGGAATGAAAACAGAAACACAAGGAACTCAGGAGGGAAAAAATAACGTTCATCTATTACCAAGGAGATTTTCTGTGTAGGATGGTAGTCTGAAAAACCTGAAGATGGGAGTCCTGGTCATTTTTCACAGGTGCCACAGATAAAAAGGCATATGCTGGGATCCCACACTTGTGGACACCTCCCTAGATGTCCCTGTTCGTTTCTGCAGTTTAAAGTTCTCCAGTGTCTTATGACATCTTAGAGAACTTAAGGGGGACCATTAGGAAAATTTTGACTATGGATTTGTGGAATATCATCTACTGTGTATATGAAACAGTCCAGGTTTAATTGTTGTGGTACACCTTGACTCTTAATGGGGTGGTTGGATACTGTGGAACAAGTTGGTTAGGATCAGGCCTACCTACATTTGTGTGTTATTTTTTGTGTAATTTTTAGCACTTGCTTGATTTTTGAACCCCCATGAAGCTCAAAAACCTTTCCAAGCAACAAATACTTTCAAGGGCTCCTTTGCTACCTCCATATAAAACAGGATTGCATTTTGCTAATTAAATTGTTATCACAACTTCTGAATCTTATAACATTAGATCCAGCTGATGGTTATACAAATACGTTTCCCCAACACTTATTAGTTCTTGTCTGAATCTAAAGAATAGAACTCCATCAGTTCTATGGCTGCTTTGTTGAAATGTTGGATGGCATTAAAAAAGATTACTCATGATGATAAAGCACTAGAAATAACAAGAGGAAAATCAGGATCATGCCCAAAATGGTTCTGGATGATGATTGGCTGGATTGATATGTAATATCCCAATAAATGAATATGTAATGACTGAAATGAGGTCCCAACCCATTTTAGTTTAGGCTGGTATAGTGTTTCTCAACTTGGCATCTTTCAAGATGTATAGACTTCACTGTCCCAGATTTCCTAGTCAACATTCCTGTTGCTTGGAATTCTGAGAATTGAGATCCATACAGCTGGAATTTTGTGATGTTCAGGAAAGACTAATTTAACTTGTTATGTGAACCCAAGCCATATTTTTTGATACCTCTTGCAACAAGACTTACTTTTCTTGAGGCCAGGAACTCCATTCCTTTAGCCACCTGGAAGCTGTAGCAAATCAGGTCCTCCAAAGTCAGAGGTCGCTTATAAAGATCTTCAGCGTCTAGGAGAAAGTAAGGGATGATCTGAGCCAGAGGTGCAAAGGGATATTTTTGCTCACCTACATAAGATGGCCAGAGCTCTGTGCTGAGGTTCCTTCCAGCCCTATGACTGTATGTGTCCACAAACAGGCTAATATAGCAAGACTGAAAGCCACATAATCAGATGACTCATCTTTGTTAAGAACACTGCTAAGAGGAAGCGGAGGTTTTTCCCCAAACTCCTCACACATTTGCAGATGGAGTAATCCTGGTGTAGACCAGAAGGGGACAGATCTCCAAAACTGGAAATCCAAAGAGACCAGAAAGTGGGCAAACTTTCTGGAAATGGGAAAGAGTGCAGAGAAGAGCAACAAAGATGATGGGGAGGGTGTGTGTGTGGGGGGCTGGAAGCTAAAACATATGAACAACAGTTACAAGAATTGGATATGGCTAATCTAATGAAAAGAAGGACTAGGAGTGACATAATAGCAATCTTCCAATATTTGAGGGACTCCTAGAAAGATGAGGGGGTCAAACTATTTTCCAAAGCACCTCTCTGATGGCATGCGAGCCGTTGCCCCAGTTTATCTCTGCTGAGCACGCATGCATGCCTCCCACCAGCCAGCTGGTCTTCGGGTCTCTGCCACGCGTGCATGGGGTGGGGTGATTGCGTGGGGTCCGCACACACATGCATGGGGGGCAGGGTGCGTGCAGGGGGGCCATGCACACATGCGTGGGGGGCAGGGCACGGGGGGGCATGTGCACATGCACGGGGTGGGGCACATGCGTTGGGCCACACGCGCATTGCATTTTGGGAGTTTGGATGCACACGCATTCGCACACATGTGCATGCGCTTTGGGCACTCGATCTGGAAAAGGTTAGCCATCACTGGTATAGGGTTTCCTGCTCCAGCAGGGGGTTGGACCTCCAAGATCCCTTCCAACTCTATTATTCTATGTTCAATGAGCTGGTAAATGTTCACTGACCTTCTTCTTCTGAATCAGAATCTGTGTAACTCTTGTCTTCAATGAATCCAGAGCTAGCAGAGCTACCTGTGCTGGCTACGCTTTCAAGACGCCTCTTAATTAGCTCTGTTAAATCACTGATTGAGTCCTTCAATCCTTTCTCTGAGCAGTCTGAATTTTCTAGTGGCTAGGGAAGAAAAAGACCTCTTAAAAAAGCCAGTTATTACTCCTTGGCCGGGTTCAAACAACATGCTAAACAGGAGACTTAGTTTTACAAAAGAGAGTGGCTGTTTTTGCATAACATGCTGCCTCCATTTAAGTGAATCGTGGTTTGCTTATTGCTCATAAATTAAACTAGCACCACATTACCCCATCTTCAAACGACACTATCCATTTTTGTTGATAATGTTTTTGTTTGTTAGCTACAACTTAATTAGGCATGAGTGCAAAAAGATAAATTTTCCATTTTGAGTAGAAGTCTTCCAAGTGTCTAAGAAATGACATAGATGGTTAGATTTGGCCCCTGTAACACCACTGTTCTGTGAGATGCATTGGTTGCCAGTATGCTTCTGGGTGCAATTCAAGGTATTGGTGATCACCTTTAAACTTAGCATGGGTCTAGGCTACTTGATTAACCTGCCCCACCTGTGTTGGCAGAGGAAGCATGCTCTGGGATCCATCAGCCCAATTATTCCAGCTGGCGGATTCCAGGAGAAGGGCCTTGTCTCCCTTTGTGGGGTCCTTGGTACTGTCTGAGCTTCCTTGTTTTCTTGCAGACGTTCCATTACCTTAACTAGGTAACATCATCAGTGCTAGTAAGGAGTGCTGTTTGCTGTCCATTTATATTCTGGTTTCTTGCCTGTCTGTGTGGGTTGGGGCAATCTTGGAGATTCTTTGGTTGGGCCCTTTACTGATGGCTCTTTGGCAGTTTCTTGATTGGGGTGTTGCTTACTTGATGGTTGGTCTGAAGTTAACAGAGTTAATCTATGCTAATCTGAATACTGATTATTGATGGAGAGGTACTGGAGTCTTTTTGTTCTCTTTTGGGCTGGTTGACAGGCTTCCAGAAATTCCCTGGCATTTTTGGACTTGGCCTGGTCTCGGATGGTCACATTTTCCCAACTGAAACTATGGTTAAATCTGTTTATATGTTGTGAAATTAAAGAATTTTCATCCTGGCTGTCAATTGGTGTTCATGGATGTGTCTCTCCCTTTGTGCCTGCCCTACAGAACATCTCGCACTCCCCAGTGTGAGGTTGACGCTGATCCTCATAACTTTGCATAAGAGCCTAAAGACCTGGCTCTGCCAGTTAGCTTGGGGCCTCAATGGGGAAGCATCACAATGCAGGTGATTGTGTCAAGTGCCAGGGAAATCAGGAGATAAGTTCAAATGGGTATAAACATTTATTGCAAGCTTAAGCTCTGAATCTGAACTACTAACAGTCCAAGAAAATTGGCAGTAGATAAGAGTCAAAGGAATTCAAGGTGAGCTGGACTAAGATCTCTTGTGGCCGAGAAGGGATTCAAGACTGATGATGCATTTGACCCCCTCTCCCGGGCTCAGCCTGGTCATCTCCTACATGTTGATTGATTAACATCAGATGCCACTTCCCCTCATTCTGCTTCTGCCCTCCACATCTTTTCATTGTGCTGTAGGATTTGACTTTTGCACTAACTTATTTATGTTTTTAGTTTATATACAGGTAGTCCTCAACTTACACCACAATTGAGCCCAAAATTTATGTTGTTAAGTGAGAAATTTGTTAAGTGAGTTTTGCCCCATTTTACCACTTTTCTCACCACATTTGTTAAGTGAACCACTGCAGTTATTAAATTAGTAACACAGCCATTAAGTGAATCTAGTTTCCCCATTGACTTTGCTTGTCAGAAGGTCACAAAAGGGGATCACATGACTCTGGGACACTGCAACCGTCATAAATGTGAGTCACCTGTCAAGCATCTGAATGTAAATCATGTGACCATGGAGATGCTGCAATGGTCATAAGTGTGAAAAATGGTCATAAGTCACTTTTTTCAGTGCCACAGTAACTTCAAACAGTCACTAAATGAACTGTTGTCAGTTGAGGACTACCTGTAGTTTTTATCTTTTACAACTGTAAGATGCCCAGAGTTATCTTGAGGTAAGATGGGTGGCCAATAGCTTTTACAAATAAATAAATTTACTCAGACCTAATCCCCACTTGGACCAGAAATGAAATGAAACCTTTTTCTGTCTGAAGTTTTTAAAGGATCAAAAAAACTGGGGCACATGTCTTACCTTGCATACAATGAAATCACCTCGTTTTCCCCGCAGGTAATTAGAGAGATTTCCATACTTGCAATATTCTACAATGACCATCAGAGGACCTGTAGACAGGATCAAAACAAAGTTTATGAAATGATAACACATGGGAACATTGTAGGAATAAGCAAAAGCAAGTAAACATCTCTCTTGCAAACACAGAAGAAAATGGGCAATGGATAAAAGAAGAAGGAATCCAGGGTCAGAAAACTGGGGCCAGGAAGTGAGAAACGAACACTGGCTACTGGCCATATTTTCTGTTTAATGGGACAGACACCAGCTCTTACTCGCTGATGGGTGTTTGTGCAGATGTTACACCCCTCCCTGCTATCCCTGTTAGCGATCTAAGGTCTTACAGTTTGTCTCTCCATCCTTCTGAACATGCCTCCTTGCCCCACAAACAGCAGTTATCTGATTAATTAGCACCATTAGTTGCCATCAAAGACATCGCCGTTTCCATTAATCAAGAGACTAACGTCAGAGCTTGGCCCAGATATGAGAGCTATTTAGCTTCAGCCATTACCGACTTGGTTGCTGACTTTCCCACATCAAACCATGCTGAAGTCAATCTGAAGAACCAATACAATGGAATGTTATGTAGAAAGATGCACAGGTTAAGGATCATGGGTTCTTGAAACGAGGTGGTCAATGAAATGGTCAAAAAGAACAGGCTCTGCCTCTTTGGGGCACACCTGCAACATCACAACGCACATTCAGAAGGATTGATCCTTGCATTGCAGTGGCACAATGGTGAATATTTATAGCTCAGGGTTGAAATGAGGGGTTTTTGGTGCTCTCTGAGCTTGACTGTTTCTTGCAGGGCTTTCATTACCCAAGCTAGGTAACATCATCAGTGCTAGAAGGGAGTGGAGCTTGCAGAATGGAGGAGAAAGAGAGAAGGAGAAGAATTGTAAGAGCTTTGGTGCTTTCTGAGCAAAATTATTTTTTTCCTGGACTTTTCGTTTCCCAAATTAGGTAATATCATCAGTGCAAGTCCCATTCCTTTCTAGCACTGATGATATTACCTAGTTAGGGTAATGAAACATCTGCAAGAAAACAACCGAGCTCCAAGGATGAAGGTGTGATGGTGCTGGCCCTCCTCCCTCAGATGCCATTGCCGAAGGTGAAATCTGCTCCCAAGCACCTTGAATCCAGCACCAACCTTCAGTTGTTGTCAGGTTGTTTGCTTATTTGTGAGGAGCAATTCATTACAAATGTAAAGATGATATCAAATGAATATAATCTATTTTTGTTTTCATTTTGGTCCCTTTATAATTGTTCTTGACTTGTCACAGTGTTAAAAATGTTGTTTTTAACCCTCTCAATATTGGACCTGGGCAACTTGGTTAAAACTCAATCTGACTTTGAGCTAGTCACTTCTCATAGCTTAATTTATTATGTAAATAATAAAGGGTAAAATGGGTGGAGGTGGGAAAGGAGCATGCTGAGCTCTTGGGAAACAACTGAGATATAAATATAATCCTCTTCTCTTCTCTTCTCTTCTCTTCTCTTCTCTTCTCTTCTCTTCTCCTCTTCTCTCCTCTCCTCTCCTCTCCTCTCTTCTCTTCTCTTCTCCCCTCCCCTCCCCTCCTTCTCATCTTGACAAGAACTTGCTTTTTCAACAGTGGTCAGCAGAGATCCAATAACCCCCTTGGTGATGCCAAGATCAAAGCTAACATGTATTCATTCTTTCATTTATTTATTTCTGTACTGCCTTGGAACATCATGACTCAGGGTGGTTTACATAATAAATCAAAGCAAATCAAATGCAACTAGAGTTACAAAGGCAACTCAGGTTTACCATCTGCCCCAAAACCCTTTTTGAGGAAGGGGTTTCTTTTCTTTACAGAAAGCAAGCAAAGTGGTGGGTCACCTCTATTCTAATAGTAAAAGGACCTTCTACAATGGGGTCATCCGGGCTGAGAATCTTCCTATCCCTGTGCTATCAAGAAGACTTAAATATCCTTTTTTGGTGTTTTCAAGTCAATCCTGATTCCTAGTGACTGCTTGGACTAGACCCTGAAGTTTTCTTGCCAAGTTTTCAGAGGTGGTTTGCTATTGTCTCCTTCTTAGAGTCGAGAGAAAGTGACTGGAGCAATGTCACCCAACTGGCTTTGTACCTAAGACAGGAAAAAAACGCATAGTCGCCCGGTTTCTAGCCTGATGCCTTAAGCTCTATACCAAATTCAATCCTCAAATTATAGCTGTCATTAACTATATGGAAGTTAAAGAAATGACAGCAGGTAGCAGCCAGGAAATCCTGCCAGGAAACCCTCCTATGTAGCTTAGATTAGGAAGTCCAAAAAAAGGTGATGGCAAATCCTATCCATATGGTTGCCAACAAAGTAACATGGCCATATCCATCTCTTCAAAATGTTCAAGTTCAACTGCAGAGTTAACTATTTATTTACTAAATTCGTATAATGCCCAAATCCCAGCAAATTGTTTTTTTCTATCTTATCTTTATCATACCCAATCAATATTTCAAAGGGGGATCTGGAGTCACATTGTAGTTGTATGGGAATGGATCAATCATAATAAAGCTGGAAGGGAGGTCTTCTAATCCAACCTCCTGATCAATCAGGAGACCCTATACAATTTGAGACAAATGGTTGTCCAGTCTCTTCTTAAAAGCCTCCAGTGATGATACACCCATAACGTCTGATGGCAAGTCATTCCACTGATTAATTATTCTCCCTATTAGGAAATATCTCCTTCGTTCTAGGTTGCTTCTCTCCTTGGTTAGTTTCCATCCAATTGCTTCTTGTCCTGCCTTCTGGTGCTTTGGAAAATAGGTTGACCCCTCTTCTTTGTGGCAGCCCCTCAAATATTGGAATATTGCTAACAGCCCACCTGTTTGCCCACATGTTGCAAAATTTTCTTCTTGGTTTTCTTCTTATAGAAGAAAAAAACTTCTTTAAATCATGTGATGATATTTTTTTTTTGCCATTAGCAAGTTGTCCATTATCATGGACATCCGAGGTGTCCAGCCTGAGCCCTAAGTCTGCACATGAACCCTGAACCTGCAAAGTCTGTGGCCAAATTGGAATTTAAAATGTGATAGGAAGGAAAATGATTAAATGCATCCCCGGAGAATCATTTCCACATAACCATCAAATCTAGTTTATGTTCCTTTCCTATTGTCTATTGCAGAATGCATCTTGCATTGCATAAGCCAAGTGCAGCCCAACGCATAGAAAAAAACCATGCTTACCTTAACTACCTCATATTTTGATTCTTATTTCCTTGGTTTACTCTATTTCCTCCCTTGCATTTACCCTATTTTGCTTTTTGAATGTAACTTATATAAATTCAGTGCCAATTGTTTCCTAATGTAGTGATTTTAGTAGAACTGCATTTAATACTAATCTTCGGTGCTCACCTTCTTCTATTTTGGCCAATCAAAATCCATGGTAACTACTGCTTTCTTTCTTTCCCTGTTTTTCTAATTGTTTTGCATGGACATTAAAGTAATTTTCCTCCATTCTAAATCTTTTGAGTGAAACTCACCAATGAGACCAACATCATGACTTTAATTAAACATATCCTGCACAGATTTTGGGAATGCCCCAAGGATTCTTCTTTGTGATGGCAAGAAGAAGGAGAAAACAAGATTTTGGAAATCCCCCCCTCCCCCCAAGTTTCAGCTGAGGCTTCTCAAATAAAGTATCTTGGTTCCATATCCTATCATATCTTGGTGTGCAGAGAAGAGCAACAAAGATGAACAGGGGTCTGGAGGCTAAATCATATGATGAAAGAGAAGGATTAGGGCTGACATTATGATTTCCAGTACTGTCACAGAGAAGACGGGATTGACGTATTCTCCAAAGTACCTGAGGTCAGGACAAGAAGCAATGGGTAGAAGATCATTAAAGAAAGATCCAACCTAGAACTAAGGAGAAATTTTCTGACAGTGAGAACAATTAATCAGTGGAACGGCTTGCCACCAGAAGTTGTGGGTGCTCCATCATTGGAGGTCTTTAAGAAGAGACTGGACAGACTGTTTGTGTGGAATGTTATAGTGTCTCCTGCTTGAGCAGTGGGTTGGGCTAGAAGATCTCCAAAGTCCCTTCCAGTCCTATGATTCTATGTTCTATACCCTACCTTTCTTCTCTTCTAGAGTTACCAGCTTTGCACAGGACAAAGCATACAGTATACTTGTATTCCATGACTCCTTTTCTTGATAGAGAGTAATTAGAGGAACTCCCCCTCCTGAGAAAAAAAAACACTGTTGGAAAAGCAAGTCAGCCCTCCAATTTGGGACAATTCTCCTGCTTACTTCCACCACCACAATGCCAGTTTCTGCCACAGTTGACTTAACCCTATCATTTTCAACAGGAAAATCATATCGGGAAGAAAAAGAAATATTATTATTACACACCTCCATTCTAGTCTAAGTGTGAGGATCCCAGTTCAGTCTGCTTGTGAAAGTTTCTATGTATTTAAAGAAATTGAGATTAAAAGAATCTGCGGTATAGAATGCAATTGTCCTATGCCTCATTCTCTGCAGCAGTACTTACTCAGCTGGGTCTTGGCTGCATTGTGAGATACATTCATTCAGGTACAATGGGCCTCATAAATACTTTATGAATGCTTTATAAACAGCGGGGGCTGCATTTTTATGGTGCTGTGTTCTGCTTGAGCTTCTCTGACAGAAAGGTTGGTATGTGTGTGTTTATGTGTGTGCAGCAGGGAAAATAGGCTTGCCTCAAAATACGTGCAGTTCCTTAGTTCTACTAAATCTTTCAAGTTCAGCTTCTTTGAGGGGATCCTGAACGAATTATTTTAATCCTAGATACAGTTTTGCTTTCCAGTACAGAAAATGCAGAAGCCAATCTGTGCGAACTGGGCAAATTCCTGTGTGAATCCAGATATATATCAAGGTATATATATTCACACAGGGTTTAGTGAATTTGTGATATATATATGAGCCATGGTGGTGCAGTTGTTAGAATGCAGTATTGCAGGCAAACTCTGCCCACTGCCAGGAGTTCAATCCTGACTGGCTCAGTGTTTTCTCAGCCTTCCATCCTTTCAAGGTCGGTAAAATATGGACCCAGATTGTTGGGGGCAAGATGCTGACATTTGTAAACAACTCAGAGAGTGCTGTAAAGCACTATGGAGCGGTTTGAGGAAGTTGCATAACATTCTCTTCCCATCCTGCTTACAATCTTTTTGGACTGTTGCCTTTTGGCAGAAGATACAGAACAATTAAAACTCGGACCACATGTTTTCTGAAGAGTTTTTATCCCAGAGCTATAATTGCACTCAACAATGAGCTAAAGGGCCACCATCAGTGAGCTGTTGGACAGCATTACTTGGTCTGTTGTGTGAATGTTTGGGTGGTTTAGGGGTGGGGAATTGTGGTGGGTGGGAGTGTGTTTGGAGATTGTTATGTGTGTTGGACCTGGTCTTTGGGTGTTAAGTGAATTTCATTGTATGGGTATACTGTGTACTTTCTATATCTTAGGAAATTTTAATTTGCTGTGGGAGTGTAGTCCAGAACAACTGGATGGCAGTAAATTGCTTCCCTGCCCTGTATTACATCCAAAAAACCTTTCTGGTGTAGCTGGAGGTGGTCACACCCCACCTTAATGTGATTTAATTCATCACCTATAGGGAGACTCCTCCTTTCAGTACAGATTTGTGGACTGATTTCTAAATCCTATCTTAGTCACTGAAGTTGGCTGGGTGATGAAGAACAGTTGCAGGATTTGGGTTTGGCTAGTCTAGAGAAAAGAAGGACTGGGGGGGACAGGATAGCAGTCTTCCAATATTTGAGGGGCTGCCATAAAAAAGAGTGGGTCAACTTATTTTCCAAAACACTAGAGGGCAGGAAAGAAACAATGGATGGAAACTACCGTAATCAAGGAGAGAAGCAACCTGGAATTGAAGGAGAAACTTCCTAACAGTGAGGACAATTAACCAGTGGAACAGCTTGCCTTCAGATGTTGTAGGTGCTTCATCATTGGAGGCTTTTAAGAAGAGACTGGACAGCCACTTGTCTGAAATGGTATAGGATCTCCTGCTTGAGCAGGGGGCTGGACTAGAAGACCCCCAAGGTCCCTTCCAGCTCTATTCTGATTCTGATTCTGATTCTCAGCCCAACTCACCTTGCAGTTGTGGGGACAATTGTAGGAGGAAGGTGCTTTGGATATGTTCATTGTCTTGAGTTATTTGTAAAAATAATAAAGGCAGGATAGAAATAAAAATAAGTAAAAAATAATATGAAAGTTTGGGGTTTTGTCTCAAGTTACAGAACCAAGGAATCAGCTAACACTCACCTCCGGGCTTGGTACAAGCCCCCAGTAGGTTGACCACATTTAGATGATGTCCAATGTGGATCAGGATCTTCAGTTCCGACATCAGAGCCTTGCACTCATTGGTCGTTGCACACTCTGCTTGAGAAAGAGGACACAAGCATCTTTACACCACAGGATATCAGCAACGGGAAGAGTCGAATCCTGTTTATGTTTGAAAGGGAAGCAAACACCGCCATGGGAAAAAACAAAGTACGCCCTGATCTCTTTTAGGGTCTCTGTGTATTATTTCTCATCAGATAAGGCACAATTTCCTGCCTTGATCTTCTCAAAGGTTCTTATCTGCAAGGAGATGTTGAGCTGTTTTAGAAAACCTTTTTTGCTCCCAATTTCCTGCTAGGATAGCACAGTAGAATGTTGACCATTCGTCAACAATGGAAGTTCTAAAAGCTAAAAACTTTTTGTCCTCTAGAAGTCTACATTCATTGGCATCCTTCAGTCTCAAGAGACTATGGTATCGTGCTCTGGAAAGAGGTCCTAAAACAGCATCTAGTGTCACTAAAAAAGCTACATACATTTTAGAGATCTACATACCATTGGAAATAATCTGGATGGATGGAGATACCCAAAACATTTAGACCAAAGGAGAGACTTGGTTTTAGAGGCTGTCTGGAAAATGAGGATGATTAAAATTCAATCTTGGCCGAAAGGGACACCAACTTCACTCATTGCTTGAATTTTATTCATTATTGCTAATACAGTCCCATAATGGTTTACACTACAGTTTGGCTTCTCTTCATTTACTCTTGAATTAAATCTCCTTCATTGCATTCCATTGACATAATTTAATTTTCTTTCTTCTCCATTCAAGTTTACAGTTCAGTATTGCCATCCAGAAGAACTTTGGGGTTCCATCCAAGGCTTTGAAAGGCTAACTGCAGACTCAAGAACTGAAGTTGGGTATTCCACTAGCATGATATGGCCATAATAGTGGAACTTAATTAAGCAAAGGAAGGAGCCCATTTCAAAATGGAAGCATATGAAGAGTGATTGCAGGAATTGGGTATGTCTAGTCTAGTGAAAAGAAGGACTAGGGGTAACATGATAGCAGTTTTCCAATATCCAAGGGGTTACCACAAAGAAAAGGGGGTCAACCTATTCTCCAAAGCACCAGAAGGCAAGACAATAAATCAAGGACTAATCAAGGAGAGAAGCCACTTAGAATTAAGAGAAACTTCCTAACAGTGAGAACAATTAACCAATGGAATGGCTTGATTTCAGAAGTTGAGAGTGCTCCATCACTGGAGGCTTTAAAGAAGAAACTGGACAGCCATTTGTCTGGAATGGTACAGGGTCTCCTGTACTAAAAGACTTCCAAGGTCCTTTCCAACTTTGTTATTCTGTTTTACTTCCTTGGTTTCTGTCACATTTCTTTAGCTCTGTCTCTCATCCTCTTTATCTCTTTTTCTCTTTAGATGTTTCTCCTTGTTTTTCTCCTTCTCTCCATGCAGGAAGCTTGAACAAATTGTTCCTTTTTTCACTTGCAGAGAAAATTGCTTACATGAAAATGGCCTTTGAAATTAGACCAAAAGCAGGCTGAATTCAGATTGAGCAGTGCACCAATTATACACCTATTCCTGGATTTAAAATATTAACACTTAATAATTCTGGCAATATAATCCCACAATAGCTCAGTTTCTCACAGTAAGGATTGTTCATACCAGTGACTTCCAGGAAAGAGTTAGAGACTGCTGTTCTCTAATGGCTGTTGAGAACTACTATATTTTCCTTGGAAACATTTCTCAAACAATTCATGTATTTGGCAAGTTGTAGGATGATATTTTCCAGAGTGTACTTCCACGTGGGATGATTCCAAAGCATGGAGAAAAATGTGGGAAGGACCTTGAAAATAGTACTAAATAGTGGCTATTCCTGATGCTCTTGGAAAGAAAGTTGGATGTTTAGAGTAATTTGGATCATACATAAAAGGATAACAGAGTAACAGAGTTGAAAGAGACTTTGGGGGTCTTCTAATCCAACACTCTGCTCAGTCAGGAAACCATATGGCATTCCAGACAAATGGCTATCCAGACTCTTAAAAGACCTCCACAACCTCTGAAGGCAAGGCAACCCACTGATTAATTATTCTGACTGTCAGGAAATTTCTCCTTATTTCTAGGCTGCTTCTCTCCTTGATTATTTTCCATCCATTGCTTCTTGTCCTGCCTTCTGAGTGCTTTGGAGAATAGCTTGACTCCCTCTTCTTTGTGGCAGCCTCTTAGTTATTGGATATTGGACAAGGATGAGCAGATGACTGACCAAAGGTTGTGCTAACATCTAGAAGTTTTGTGTTGTGAAGCAAAAGAGGCTTCACAACAAAATGTAACCAACAGTAAGATTTTGCAGTGATGAAAGAAATTGGTTCATACCTCACCTAGTTAGACAAAAATCCACAATATATTTTAAAACCTACTATTCCAAGCAATTAATATGCTAAATGGCGTATTTATTCATCAAGTATTTGTAGAGAGAACTGGTATGTAAATGTCATTAGTTGATGCCAGATGGCTCAACCCTTGTCACTGGAAAGAAAATAAATTCATTTATGTTTGCAAGGTTTGTGCTCCTCATCCTTAACACAATTCCTTTCTGATTTTTTAAAATACTTAAATGTTAAGGTATTTAGATTACTAGAAATTCATCCATATGAGTAGAAAAGACACATACCTTTGACTTATCATCTATCACTCATTGTATGGGCTGCTTCCATGCTAAGCTAGATTTCTTTACAAGGTTTCTTGCCTTGGGCAGGATTTGGACTAGAAGACCTCCAAGATCACTTCCAGCCCTATGATTCTGTGATTTGCCATTAATTGATTTAATTTGTTAATCTCTCTAACATTGAACCCCTTTCAGTCATTAAGAAACAAGAGGATGTATATTCCAGCTTCACTCGGTTTGCTGAATCTCTCTGTGTGTTAATGGAGTAAGTTGGAAATGAGGGAATAACTCCGATTAGCTGAACATATTTATAGCATCTAATCTAGTGTTTCTCAAATTTGGCAGCTTGAAGATGTGTGGACTTCAACATCCAGAATTCTGGGAGTTGAAGTCCACACGTCTTCAAGTTGCCAAGGTTGAGAAACATTGATTTAATCTCTGGCATGCCAGAAACTAAACTTGGATCTTGTGCATGCAGAACCTGCTCATGTCCATTAGCTCAGGCCCACACTCATGTGCTTTGGGCAGAGAGAGTCCTCGTATGCCTTCTAGAGAAGCTCTACCCATAGTCATCCCTGGTGGCCAACTCAACAACACTTCATATTGCCCTTCTGGAGGCTGGCCAAGGGTCCATGGCAATGCTCTTTCATCATGTCAGAAATTCAAAGCTAGAGGTTTCAGAGTCATAAATGGACTCAGGATAGTTTCAATACAGATGCTCTGGAAGTTTCAGCACCTGGCTGAGAGCAATACAATCAAGCTTGAACCCAAGTCTGCATGGATGCCGTTAAGGTACCTGGCATCATGTCACCTGCCATCACATATTATGGGTTGGGAATAGGCAAAAAGCCAGAAGTTGCAGCAATAGAAGGGAAAAACTACACCAGTGGGTGCTCTTAAATGGAGACCATGTTTAGGATGCTTTCTTGGCATGGTTATCAGGATGAGGAGCCTTGGTTGTTTCTAGGAAGGTTAGAGGGTGGATATTTAACCTGAGAGCAAACTATCTCTTCTATCTCCCTGGGATGATGTCTTCCTGACCTACCTCCTTTCTGTGTACACGCCTTCAAATGAAGCATCAAACTTAACAGAATAGCAGAGTTGGGACCTTTGAGGTCTTCTAGCCCAACTCAAGCAGGAGACTCTATAACCATTCCAGACAAATGGCTGTCCAGTCTCTTCTTAAAAGCTTCCAGTGATGGAGCATCCATAACTTCTGAATTCCATTGGTTAATTGTTTTCACTGTTAGGAAATATCTAAATATCTTCTTAGTTCTAGGTTGCGTCTCTCCTTTCCATCCATTGTTTCTTGTCCTGTCTTCTGGTCCTTTGGAGAACAGGCTAACCCCCTCATCTTTGTGGAAGCCCTTCAAATATTGGAACACTGCTATCATGTCACCCCTTCAGCCACCCAGCATTTTTATTTATGAGAAAGTCTTGCGTAGGTTCCAAACACACAGCTGTAAATTCTTTTCAAAATGTGGCAAGGCTGATGTTAGTTTCCTACATTTCCCCCCCACTGAAAGCAACTGAAAACCTGGGATGAAGAGATTTTTGGCATAAATGTGAGAGAAGGTGATAAGCTACTGAAATTGCTTTGTACTTGTCTCGATGAAGGAGGAAGTCATTTCTTTGTGTATCCTTTTTTTTCTTTATATGTCTTTTCCTTTCCCCCTTTTTTCTCTCTGCACTTTTTTTTCTTAGTTTGGGTTAGTCTTTTATCTTTGTATTTTTATATTGCAGTAAAAATTCCAGTAAAGGAGAATATTTGTAGCTCAAGGTTGAAATGAGGGGTCCCTTGGTGGTCTCTGAGCCTGGTTGTTTTCTTGCAGACGTTTCATGACCCAATTAGGTAACGTCATCAGTTCTAAGGTTGACTAGCTGACTAGCACTGATGATGTTAACTAGTGTGGGTCATGAAACGTCTGCAAGAAAACAACCAAGCTCAGAATGCAATAAAAGTTATTATTAAAAAATGAAAGCTACTGAAAAACAATGCCGTCAAATCAGGCAGGATGCTCAAGGACATAACAATAGGCACCAAAGTGCTGTAGGCCATATTGCCCATCCCATCCCATGGAAGAGAGAGGGAAGAGTGATAAAAAGAATGCCATCCTTCCTTACTTGATTTTCAACTGCAATGTTTCTGAAACTTTCTCCAGCAACATTTTGGGTTTGGGTTTCAGAAGGAACTGTTGAGGAGTCTGAGAGAAGTGTACCTTTAAGCATTTTAACAGCCACTGTTTTGCAGGTTGAAGATTTATCTATGCCAAAAGCAGATGCTTCCACCACTTTGCCAAAAGCACCGTGACCCAGAGTTTTACCTAGAGAAGCAAGAGGAAAGAGTGAGCCAGGCAGCACCCACAACACCAGGCATTGAAGAGAAGCAGGGGGATCTGGGACAAACACCCACTGTGGCCAACTCGCCATGAGACATCGCACCGTGGCCAACTCGCTGCGGAACAAGAGTTACACTAAGATGGAAGAAGTGATGGAATAAAACCATTAAAGAAAGGATGTCAAAGGGGGGACAAAATGAAACGTGAATGACAAAAATTGAAATATTTTTAAAAATTATTTTAAATCGTTCAATTGAATTATTGAATTGTCCTGTGGCGAGTTATCCCATAGCGAGTTGGCTGTGGCAAATTGGCCACAGTTGAGTTGTCCCATTCCGAAGCACGTTTGAGTGCAGCAAGACCAATGGAGGGACACTCCATTTGCAACACCCCAGTTCTAGCATAAAAGAAGCTTGTTCTGCAAAAACAGACCTGCAAAGCAAAAGAGATTTCTCTAACTCCACTTGTTTTGCACAATTTATTGCTTCTCTCCCCCCCCCACTTTGTTTTGCAACATTGATTCTCGCTTTTGCAGAAATAACCCTTGACATTTTTTTTTCTGAAGATGTCTCACTTTCAAATATAAATCTCTAATCATGCTGGGGAAAAGAAAATCATCCTTGTTTATTCAAAGATGGAAGGAAGGAAACATTGTGATATAAACATCATTAAGATGTAAACAGCATAATATCCAGGCATGACTTGCCTTTGTTCCTTTTTTCCTTATTTTTCATTACTCTATATTTTAATTTTGAGATGGTGTTGATCATTCCCTGCTGTTGTATGCATTTTTAATAGGTTGCATAATAAAAATGTATTTTTTTTTTAAAAAAATGGAGACGATTATTAGATTGTGGAAGCCAACGACACGGCAGGATGCTCTCCCCAAAATTTCTTAGTCAAAAAATCCTTTGAAATCCTTTTTGAAAGTTCATCAGTATAATTTTGTAACCAAACAGTAATTTTTTTTCCATAAAAGGAAGGGAGGAAGGAAGCTCAGAAAGATGGGTTCTGCTCCCAAGAGCCCAGCCTGTACTTTCTTTGGATTTGCAAAGAATTGCCATATTGACATACAAAGTGCATGCAAGAGAATCCTTTTTTTTTTTTGCAAACTATCAGAGTCCTGATAAACATGCAGCAGAAACTCTGCATCACATGCTAGAACATATGTATAAACTGAACCGAGTTTGTAAACATATGAAATAATACAAAACACAGGGAGAAAAAGACACAAAATCTAAGGTTCATACATTTCAGGGAAATAAAAAACAGAATCATTTCCAGAATTCAGAAAAGTTTGCAAAATTGTGCATTGCTGAAAAGCTTTGCATGCATCCCTCAACCTTTATTATTCAGTTAAATAATTTGGTTTTTAGTAATCCTCTTCTTCCTCCTACCAAGGATTGGTAATCAAGTAGATCTAGATTGCTTTCACATCCATTGGGAATAGGTAAATTCGTGGGCCGAATATTAAAATATTAAGGAAGCTTAACAATGGGAAAGTACTAGTATAGCAAACTGACATTTCATAGAGAAGTAGTGGATTTTCTAACAACAGGGACTGCTGGAATGGATAAAATCCCAGGATTAATCTTTGTGTTACAATTAGTGAACCGCAAATGATTGAAAAATGATTCTTAGCCTTTTGCACTTTGCAGAATATTATGGGATTTGGAGATACTTCATAAAAACTTTATGGCCCATATCAGGTTCACTCAGGCTGGCAAGTAGGACTTTTGATTTATGAATACATGAATTGTTCACCAAGGGTAACAGACTGAATTTGTGCTTGAAACAGAAAACAAATTGGAATTCATAAAATTTCATTAAAAAAAAGAAAAGTGGGCAAAAAGGCCAGGTAGTACAGGTAGTCCTCGACTTATGATCAAAATTGAATCCAGAATTATGGTCATCGATCATGACGGTCATTAAGCAGGTCACCCCATGAGCATGCCTGATTATTTTCTGCAGAAGCCATTAAGCAAATGCCACAGTTGTTAAGTGAATGTGGCTGTTATTTAGTAAGCCTGTTTTCCTCAATGGATGCTTTTTACACGAAACCAAAAGGAAATGCTCAAAACTGGCAAAAAAAGAGAGAGAAAATCATGGTCCTGTGACCAGGGGATGCTGCAAACAACTTTTGGTTGCCAAGCACCCAAAATGCAATCACATGACAGTAGTGTGCATGAACAGTCACTAAACAGTTGGTTGACTTAGAACAGTTTGTTTAGTGACTGTTCAAAGCTCCAACGGCACTGGAAAAAGTGAGTTGTGACCAGGGCTGCTATTCAACAGGTTCTGACAAGTTCTGGAGATTTTGAGTAGTTTGGAGAACCTATGCATATACCACCTCTGGCTGGCCCCAGAGTGGGGTGGGGATGGAGATTTTGCAATATCCTTTCCTTGCCACGCCCACAGAACCGGTAGTAAAAAGAAATGAATTTCACCACTGTTTGTGACCGTTTTTCACACTTATGACTGTTGCAGCACCCCGATGGCCACATGAACACAATTTGGATGCTTGGTTCATATTTATGATGGTTCACGTGATCTCCTTTTGTGACCTTCTGACAACCAAACTCATGGGGAAGCCAAATTCACTTAACAACCATGTTCCTACATAACAATTGCCATGATTCATTTAACAACTGTGGCAAGAAAGGTCATATAATGGGGCAAAATAGGGCCTTGATAGTACAGTGGTTTAGTGCACCCTGTTATTAACACAGCTGCCTGCAATTTCTGCTGGTTCGAATATCTGCAAGGCTCAAGGTTGACTCAGCCTTCCATCCTTTCTAAGGTAGGTGAAATGAGGACCCAGATTGTGGGGGCAATAAGCTGACTTTGTATAAAATATACAAAAGAATGAAGGCTATTGCTTAACGCACTGTAAGCCACCCTGAGTCTGCGGAGAAAGGCAGCATATAAATCAAATTAAAAAAAAAATCACTTAACAAATGTCTCACTTAACCATAGAAATTTTGGGCTCAATTGTGGTCGTAAGTCGAGGGCTACCTGTATCTTGTCATCTCTATTTTATTCCCCCTGCCAATGTTTAGCTCTAGCAGGGAGCATGGAAAATAATTTTATTCTATTTCTTTCAAAGCAGAGATGAGGTCTAACAAATCTAGTTAAGGTTCTGCATGAAGCTGAAGACATCCCTTAGACAGAGACACCTTTCAGATGTTTGGGATGACAATTCCCATCATTATGCATGCAAAACATCTGGAAGTCATCTGGCTGACCACCCCTCCCGTAAAGAATGGATCCCAATCTTTATCATCGTGCTGAATCCAATGACGTACAAATGGACTATTAGCTGTCAAATCCATCCCAGATGTGTTCAGCTACAATTGCAAATTACCAGCCAGCAGAGTCATTAGGAGTTCTTGGAAGGGGGATTTAGGCAGTAATCCAGCAGTATTCAAGGTTGGGTCAAGGACAACTTAGCACAGCCAACTCACTGTGGCCAACTCGCTGAGACCAACTCTCTCTGGGACAACTTGCCACAGGGCAAGTGTTACACTAATACCAAAGGAATGTTTTGGGACAAAATGAAATGTGAATGATAAAAATTAAAATAATGTTTGAATTATTTTAAATACTTAAATTGAATTGTTGCGAGTTGTCCAGTGGTGAGTTGGCTGCAGCAAGTTGGTCACGCCAAGTTGTCTCATTCCGTTTAAGGTCACCCCCCAACACAGGAGCTTGCCTAAATCCCACATACCCAGCCGCAGTCGATCCCTTGGGAATTCCCATTTGCTGCTGTCATAAGGAAGACGTTCACACTGCTCATCCAGGGGCATCTCCTCTGGGTCCATTATGATGGACAAATATCCAGTTTTAATATCGGTGGCATCCGGCTGAAAGAAAAAAAGAAACCTCCTAAGATCAGAATTGGAAGAAGACGGATGGAGCTGATGAACACAGAATGAGGTTAGAAGACAGAGGCTCCATTCCTGCAAAGATTTGAACAAAGGTGCCCCTTCTTCCTCCTAAAGAAGCACGAAAACCACCTTCTGCTCTTTTTCATCCACCAGCCTGTATTCTTTTTATAGTTGCGTGGATGTATAAATACTGTATGGGCTTGCCTAATCATCTGTAGTAAGTTAAATGGATTTCCAAGTAACTCGACATGTTTTTTTTTATTATTTTATTTTTTTAATTTGATTTATATGCCGCCCTTCTCCGGAGACGTGCTAAGCAATAGCCTTCATCCTTTTGTATATTTATACAAAGTCAGCTTATTGCCCCCACAACTGGGTCCTCAATGTTGGCCTTCTATTCCACCCTTGCTTGGACTTTCACTTTCACTCTGCTGTTGACACAGCCAGGAATTGATTAACCCATTGAACAAGGATTAGGAAAATGGCGTGTTAGGAAAATGAGTCCCTGCCAACCTACTAAGCAAGTAGAGCTCAGAAATGACAGAGTTGTAGAATTCACACTTGGGAGATGACTCTCTTCCAATCTCTTCCAACTCTCTTGTACCCCCATGGTATTACAGTTGGGCAGAATTTTCAGAAGTGGTATAGGTAGTCCTTGACTTATGACTACAATCGAACCCAAAATTTCTGTTGCTTTAAAATGGGGAACTTTGCCCCATTTTACGAGCTTTCTTGCCACAGTTATTAAGTGGATCACTGCAATTGTTAAAGTAAGTAACATGGTTGTTGAGTGAATCTGGCTTCCTTTTGACTTTGCTGGTCAGAAGGTCACAAAGGGGGATCACATGATCTCGGGACACTGCAACCATCATAAATATGAGTCAGTTGCCAAGTGTCTGAATCTTGATTTTGTGATCATGAGGGTGCTGTAATGGTTGTAAGTGTGAAAATGACTGTAAGTCACTTTTTTCAGTACCATTGTAACTTTGAATGGCCACTAAATGAACTGTCTACAGGACTACCTGTACTTTAAAAAATGTGAGAAATGGACAAACTTCGTCTGTTTGAATCATCAAAGTAGCCATGTCTTTTTTTCCTGGAATTGCGTGATTTAGAAGCTGCCTCCAGCTGCCTCTGCAGGACTAAACAGTTGTAGGTGAATGAAGACTTTTCTTTGTCATTTGTGGCACTATAGAAATTGGCTACTGAATCACTTTAGTTCTTTCAGCGTCTAAAGTGATTCATTTCTAAGCCTAAAACATGCGGATCACCTTACTTTTCTGAGTTTCCGTATGAAGAGGGTCAGAAGGAGCCAAAAGAGAGTGGCTGCTAAACCAGTGCATACCAAGATGATAACTTCTATGTTGGATTTTTCTTCAGAGCCTGAAAAAGACACAAGAAGATTTCGACTCAAGATCCATTGATCCTCCACTCCATCAAGCTTCACTTGCAACAAACCATACCTATATTTGATAGCTTTTGGTTGTTTAACAACAGTTAAAAGTGATGGGGTTTGTAGTCCCAGCATAAACTGTTGGAGACAAACCATTTCATCTTCTGCCTCTCACCTTCTATTTTAATAAACGCCCGGGTGCTGTCTTGACCCATCTCGTTGACCGCTTGGCATTCATAATGACCCTCGTCATCCTTTTTCACTCGTTCAATCACCAAAGTGTTGTTTTCCATGGAAATTCCTGGAAGAAGGAAGGGGATGATGGACAGAGGGGGAGAAAGGAGCATTATTTTCAATGCATCATGCATTAGAGAGTATCCCCACTCCCCCCATGAGAAATTGGTGCTGGAATCGCTTGGCCCCATTATGTAGCATCAGAAAAAAGAAGTCTTTGTGTGTGCTTGTAAACAGTCAAGATAGTGGCCACAACTACCACCTTCGTGGCTACTTTGAGGATTTTTTTAATCCCCTTGTGGATGCCTCTGATAGAAAAAGATCCAAGGACAGGTAAGGGTCCCTTCATTTGAAACTAATCAGCAGCCCATCTGGTCCAGTTTTATTTGTGCTGAAAGCAGGGTCTCTCCAAGATTTCAGGGAAAGACCCTCTTTTGCATTTTGACATTTTTAAAAGTTGGTTTTCGAGGAACTGAAAGCTAGCATGGAATTTTGTGTCCCTGTTGTTCTGTACAGGTAGTCCTCGGCATATAAACTTTCATTTAGTGACCATTCGAAGTTATAATGCCACTGAAAAATGTTTTTCACACTTCACAAACATCCCCCTGTTCATGTGATCAAAATTCAGATGCTGAAAATTCATGAGCTGCTGTGGTGCAGTGGTTAGAGTGCAGTACTGCAGGCTACTTCTGCTGATCACCAGTGTTGTGGCTCCGTTGCCTGAGCCTGGGCTATCGACAGATGCAGACTGTGAGAGTGAGGGAGAGGAGTTGGCAAGGCCTCCCTCTCCAGGACCCTCCTCTCTGGCAATGCCTCCGGAGGACACCGAAGGCCAAGAGATAGGCCCAGAGCCAAACACGTCCCCACAGCCACAGGTGGACAGCGACGAAGGAGATAAGTGCTGGCTGGATCCTCGACAGCGGCGCAGGGAGAAGCGTGCGCAGCAGAGGGGAAGGCGTGCCAGAGATTAGCTGAGTCACTGGACCACACCCCACAGGGTATAAATGTGGGTGTGGTGGCCGGTTCAGTTTGTGACGAGCAAAAACTAGAAATAATCCATGATCTCTGCATTACTGGACTTCTGCCTGCCTTGTCGGACTGCATTTGGACTAATCCTTGTATTGCTGAAACTTTGCCTGCTTTATTGGAATGCTTGCAGTCTAATCTTTGTTTTGTGTGAGTAAAGTCTGAATTGGCAGCTAGCCACTGGGTTGCTGCCAGCTTTATCTTCAAAGACTTTGTCGTGTGGCTTATTAACTCCGGGCCGTCTGTGGGGGTACGTGTGTGGGATGGGGACAGAACATCCAGCTGCCAGCATTTCGGCAGTTCGATCCTGACAGGTTTAAGGTTGACTCCGCCTTCCATTCTTCCGAGGTGGGTAAAATGAGGACCCAGATTGTTGAGAGCCATATGCTGACTCTGTAAACCGCTTAGAGTGGGCTGTAAAGCACTGTGAAGCAGTATATAAGTCTAAGAGCTATTGCTATTGCTATTGCTTGGCAACTGGCTCATATTTATGACTCTTGCAGTGTCTTGGGGTCATATGATCCCCTTTTGCAACCTTCTGATATGCAGAGACAATGGAGAAATCAGAACCAATTTACCCCCACGTTACTAATTAACAATTGCAGTAATTTACTTAACAATTGTTGCAAGAAAGGTTGTAAGATGGGGCAAAACTCACTTAATAACTGTCTTGCTTAGTAAGTGAAATTTTGGGCTCAATTGTGGTCATAAGTCGAGGACTTCCTGTGTTGCTTTACATTGAAAGGGAATTCTAAGGCCTGCAACTTTGCTCTTGTCAGAGCAGTAGGCAGCTAGAGGTAGTTCAGTCCACATTCCTGGGTCTCATCTTCACAATCACTGGGTGTATTTATATCGGAGGAGGAAGAGGAGCAGGAGCAGGAGGAGGACTGTGGGGTTTTTGGTGCTTTTTTTTTTTTTTTAAAAAAAACGTTTTATTAGTTTTTTATTTTTAAATATACATCAATATCAATACGTGCTTTCTGAGCTTGGTTGTTTGCTTGGGTTTCATTACCCAACTAGGTAACCTCATCAGTGTGAGGGGGGTGGGTGGGATTTGCTTCAGTTGCCAAGTCCCAGATTGCAATTACAGAGATGTTGGGATGGCAGCAAGGCCCAACTGTAATCAGTATTTGTTCTGCACTACTTTAACTCTGAACAATTGCTGAACGAAAGGTTGTAATTCAACAACTGCCTGTATATGGTGGAATGTAGCCTGGAGATTCCCAGGAGGGAGGGGCTGCATTCCCAGGAGGATGAAGTGATAGTAAAGTTTAGATAGTTTGAGATGAAGAGAGCCAAGCTGGCTCCTTCCTAGAAGTTCTCAGAATGTATCTTTAATGATGCGAGTAGTTTGCTTTAGCTTGGCAAGATTCTGTCTATAGCTGAGGAAGAAAAAAAGAAACTGCTCAGAAGTAACTCTACATGTCTGTCTTGTATTTTGGGGCCTGACACTGTACTTTGACCTGGTCCTGCTATGTTGGGAACTGAACTTGGGACCTTGAAAATGAATTTTTTTTACTACTTATCCATGATTCCTCTTTTTCCAATAGGCTACCTTCCAACAGATCTTAACAGAAAGGAAGAAGCAAGAGTAGCAGCACCTATCTCAGAAGGCTCACCTGAAGCAGGGGTGATGCGGTGGCCATTTTTCAGCCAAGCAATAGCAGGTTTGGGGGTCCCGTTGACTTTGCACTCCAGAACGATGGTCCCGCTCACGTTAACCTCCAAGTCGGTAAAGTTCTCCATAATGTAAGGCACCGTCTTAACTGCAAACAAAGGTAAAATGACATATTTTAACACCAAAAGTTTTGCACTTCTGTGGTTACTGAGGCAACCCTGAACAAAAGAAAATAAGAAAATTATAAATATCAAATCAATTCAGCTTGGACACCACAGTAAATGTTGGCTAGAACAAAAATTTAAATTGTTAATATGAAGATGAACAAGATCCTCCTCTTCCTCTACCATAAAATGTCCTGTAAGCTATTAGTTCTCATGATTCCAAAGCTAAATACCAATTCAATTTAGTAATACCTGCTCAACATTTATGCTTTTTCCTTTTCTCCCCATCAAGGAATGAAATCTGGAACCCCATTCCACTCCAATCCTTCAGTCCTAACCCCAAAAAGAACGTGTGATGAGTAAAAATGGTGGTTGTTTTTTTTTAAAATAATGACTCATCTCAGTTTATTTATGACACTTTCAGAATGAAAGTAAGTTTACAAGGCAGGTTTGATTCTCCCAATTGTATCTCTTATCAACATCCTTTGTTCCCTGGGCTTTCTGATGTGCTGTTTTGTTTCCAAAACTAGTCCTGGTCTAGCTGACTGTTTAAAACTAACTTAACTTACTTTCATCATTTCATTCTAGAAAATTTTCCTTTTATTTCTTTGTTCTTCCCAGGTTGAAGAAATTTTATCATTTCTACTGATTTGATTCCATCTCTAGTGCTAATTGCATCTGATTTCCTAACACAAATTAATGATGGTGAATTTGGAAACTTTGCTTGATTAGTATGTTTCTAATTATCCAAACATACAGAGGCATTTTAGGGTCAATTTTGCAAAGGCTGTCCCTTTGTGTAAATAGGAATATTGCCAAAATTGTACCTGCATATAAGTTGGAATATTGCTGGAATTGCCTTGTTTGGCATTTTGCAACGATGTAATTCAAAACTGCTCGTAAATAAGTCCATATTATGGAAATGTAAGAAAAAAAATAGCATTCTCTTAGAGCAGGGGTCTTCAAATTTGGCAACTTTATGACTATGGACTTCAAGTCCCAAAATTCCTCACCCAACATGGCTGCCTGAGCAATTCTGGGGATTGAAGTCCACAAGTCTTAAAAGTTGCCAAGTTTGGAGCCCATGTATTAGAGCAGAGCTTCTCAACTTTGGCAACTTTAAGATGTGTGGACTTCAACTCCCAGAATATATCTTAAAGTTGCCGAGGTTGAGAAATACTGTATTAGAGAAAAGTATAGGCCACATAGTGGCCAAGAACATGATGGGACAGATGTTGCCACCCTTCTTACATTTTATGCTGAGCATGGTACTTTTCTCCAGCTGCTTGGTGCGGTTGTGGTAGCTTGATGCTCGGCACTTGTAAAGCCCTGCGTGAGCCTGGGAGACATTATGGATGTCCAGCACTAAGGAGATGGAATAGTTGTCCACCTTCTTCTGGGTGAGAGCTGTGGGGACTTCCTGCAAGGTGGGGTCGTACCAGATGAGGTGATCGTAAAGATACTTGGAGCACTTGCAAGTCATCTGGACATGGCTGGTCACAATAGCTGTCATTTGGGAGTCTGCCTCCAGGCTGGATTGCATGTCTGCAAGAAACACCAGAGAGAAGCAGACCAATTATTTATTTATTTATTTATTTATTTATTTATTTATTCATTCATTCATTCATTCATTCATTCATTCATTCATTCATTCATTCATTCATTTATTTATTTCTATGCCGCCCAACTCCCTGGGGACTCTGGGTGGCTTACAACAAAAAATAATGTGAACAATATACCATAAAAGTTGTTTTAAAAAAAACATTAAAAACCCATACACTCCATTCATGGCCGGATCTCGCCAGATCGCAAGAGCGAGATCAACGGCCCCAGGCCTGCCGGAAAAGCCAGGTCTTCACTGCTTTCCAGAAGGCCAATAGGGTGGGGGCGGTCCGGACCTCAGGAGGTAACTGGTTCCAGAGAGCCGGGGTAGCCACAGAGAAGGCCCTCCCCCGCGGGCCTGCCAGCCAACATTGTTTAGCTGACGGGACCCGGAGGAGACCAACTCTGTGGGATCTTACCGGTCGCTGGGAGCTATGCGGCAGAAGGCGGTCTCGAAGATAGCCTGGCCCTGATCCATGTAGGGCTTTAAAGATAATAATCAACACCTTGAATTGCGTCCGGAGACTGATAGGGAGCCAGTGCAGCTCATGGAGAATTGGTGTAATGTGGGTGTATCTAAGTGCACCCACAATAGCTCGCGCGGCTGCATTCTGGACCAACTGTAGTCTCTGAACACTTTTCAAGGGTAGCCCCATGTAGAGTGCATTGCAATAATCCAACCGTGAGGTGACAAGGGCATGAGTGACTGTGAGGAGAGCCTCCTGATCTAAGTGGGACAATTTCTCCCCCGCCCCAGGACCAAAGATGGACAATCGACATAGTCTTTAGGAGGCAATATCCAGAGCCATTTGGTCTTGTCTGGGTTAAGTCTGGGCCTGTTGACTCCCATCCAGACCCTCACAGCCTCCAGGCACCGGCACATCACATCCACTGCATCACTGAACTGATGCAGGGTGGAGATATATAGCTGGGTGTCATCAACATATTGCTGATATCCCACCCCGTATCGTCGGATGATTTCACCCAGCGGTGAATTTGGACCCAGATGGAGCTGAGTATATGGAGGATTTCCTTATTTCCACCCCTGAGAAGAAGGCTTCAGAATACAGGTAGCCCTAGACTTACAACCACAATTGAACCCAAAATTTCTGTTATTCAGTGAAACATTTGCTAAGTGAGTTTTGCCCCATTTTACGACCTTCCTTGCCACAGTTGTTAAACGAATCACTGCAGTTGTTAAGTTAGTAACCCGGTTGTTAAGTGAATCTAGCTTCCCCATTGAATTTGCTTGTCAGAAGGTCACAAAACGGGGATCATGTAAACCAGATGCCAAATGTCTGACTTTTGATCACATGATCAGATGCTGCAAAGGTTGTAACTGTGAAAAATGGTTGTAAGTCATATTTTTCAGTGCTGTTGTAACTTTGAACAGTCACTAAACAAACTGCTGTAAGTCGAGAGTACCTGTACAGTGCATGGTTGGAGAATATGTTGTGGGCACTTCCACAAAATTGTGACAATTAAGGAAGTGATTTAGCATTGTGTGACTTCCAGTGGGGCGTCAAAGGCTTTCAAGAGCCCCCAAACCAGAATGGGAGACCCTGAGCAAAGAGTGTCCCCCATCTCTACAGAAGGGGAGGACTGAGAGCAGCATTAGATGATTAGAAAGACATGCTCCTATGCATCAGAAATGCAGAAGCAGTGGTAAAATATGGAGTGCTGACTGGTGTGCGGGATGGAGAGAAGGAGAGAAGGAGGAGCAGAAGAGGAAAGGAGAGGAGAAGAAGGAGAAGGAGAGGAGGGGAGAGAGGAAAAGGAGAGGAGAGCCTTTTTATATAATTTATCTATCTATCTTGATGGCACAGTTGCCTAGAGATGGAGCTCTCGCCTCACAATCAGGAGGCTGTGAGTTCGATCCTAGGCAGTGGCAGGTATTTCTCTCATTGGACACAATGAATAATTGTTTGCTGTGAACTCCAAATAGGCGTCAGGGTGTCTGGATAATAAACATTCAAGCTCTGTTTGGTCGCTCTGATTGCATCCCAATGCAAGGGATTACAGTGTCATTAAAAGAAAAAAATTCTATCTATTAGTTTGTTTATCTGTAAAGGAGTTTTGGTTGCATGATTATAGCCGCCATCTTGCCTTTTTTGACCTGAAAATCATTGCAGGTTGCATCTTCTAAGCTTACACCAGATATTTCTTGACTTTTGGGGGTGATGCACATTCTTTACCTGTGATGTAGAACCTGATGCTTCTCTCTTCGGTGTCCAACTTGTTGGAAGCCACACAGTAATAGATTCCGGAGATGTTGCTTGACGTCATGGTCAAAGTGCTTAAAACCTTCCAAAGGAAAAAGAGAAAAAAAGAGGTTACTTTCTGATGAAACATTTCCCTATATCCACAAAAAGCTGCAGGGACATTGCTTGGTGATGTAGAACAAAACAGAGTTGGCACTTCCCTTTGCTTGCAGTCAAGACCGATTGTAAAAAATATTTCAAACGCTGCAGATTATTCATGAATGAAAAGTACACAATGGACTTGAAACAGTTAATGATACAAAGAGGGCATCAAATGGCTTATATCAGGGGTCTCCAACCTTGGCAACTTTAAGCTTAGCTGGCTGAGGAATTCTGGGAGTTGAAGTCCACAAGTCTTAAAGTTGCCAAGGTTGGAGACCCCTAGTTTATATAAGCCATGGTGGTGCAGTGGTTGGAATGCAGTACTGCACGCTGACTCTGCCTACTGCCAAGAGTTCAGTTCTGACTGATTCAGCCTTCTGTCCTTCCAAGGTCAGTAAAATGAGGACCCAGATTGTTGGGGGCAATATGCTCACTCTGTTATCTTCTTAGAGAGAGCTGTAAACTACTGTGAAGTGGTATATAACTCTAAGTGCTATTTATTTATTTATTTATTAGATTTTTATACCGCCCCCTCTCCCGAAGGACTCGGGGCGGTGAACAGCCAAAATTAAAAAACATACAATATAAACAATTAAAATACGTTTAAAACAGAATTAAATCCAAAATGGCTCCCCAATTTAAAACGCCTTACCCATACCCCTATAAATAAGACGAATTTAAAATTTAAAAATTTAAAATTTCCACATTTAAAAAGGGGGAAGATTTAGGCCAGGCCAGCTTGATATTGTTATTGTATAAACCTTAGTGATTGATTTAAAAAAAACTTGTAACTTTCTTGGAGCAAATTAGTCTCACAAAATGAGAGTGGTTATTATAAAGGTGGCTCAATTTCCTAAGAACTGGTAATACAGGTAGTCCTTGACTTACAACAGTTCATTTAGTGACTCTTCAAAGTTACAACAGCACTGAGAAAATGGACTAATGACTGTTTTTCACATGACCATTGCAGCATCTCCTTGGTCATGTGATCAAAATTCAGACACTTGGTAACTGACTCATATTTATTACTGTTGAGTATCCCGGAGTCATGTGATCCCCTTTTGTGACCTTCTGACAGGCAGAGTCAACTGGGGAGCTGGGTTCTCTTAACAACCATGTTACTAACTTAACGACTGCAATGATTCATTTAACAACTGTGGCAAGAAAAGTCATAAAGTGGGGCAAAATTCCCTTAACTGTTTCACTTAATAACAGAAATTTTGGGCTCACTTGTGAAGTCAAGGACTACCTGTGTAAGATCGATTTCTAAAGTCTGCCCAAGCATGACCTCTTGGGAGAATTTGTTCAAGCTATTAAAAAAAGAGAAAAAAAAACTCGGAAGGATAAAAAGGTAGATTTCCTTGTAAGACAAGTTGATATTCATGTCGGACATGTGGAGGAATTTGCACAACCCAAAGTCCTATAATTGGGGGTGTAGGCATGGACAGACTTAATTAGGGACAAACCAATTTTGTAACTAGGATGGTGCAACGCAGCACCTTCTTACCCAGAAATCAATGTGGCTTTATTTTTGACGTGATTAAATTAGACTGATAAATGTACTCTTTACCTGCGTGTTGTAATTCCAGTTTGTGAACAAGGTATAATTCAATGTAAACTTCCAATAAGGGAAGTGGGAGCCTTTCCAAGCAATGCCACCTGCCAAGAATGCTGGACCACGGATCCCTTAAGGACTCCCTGGCCATCCTGATCTGGATCAGTTCTTGTGTTTACTTCAAAATAGGGTGAAAAAAAGATGTGGGTGACTAGAGGAAATTATAGATGCTGAAATATTATTTTTGTTCATGAATTCAGCTTTCCTAATTATTGATGACAATATTAGGATCGAACATATATAAACAGGTTTGCATATATATGTGTATGTATGTATGGGGATTAGCAATGATTCTGTTTTAGCTTCCTAAACTTCTCTCAGGAGCTTTGAGCTGTGGTCCTGGCAGTGCTTTTCTGCTAGGTTTATCTTGTAAAATGAAATAACCCAAGGCAAAATACTGACCTGACTCATATCGATGGGCTGAAATATTAGATCCTCTAAAAATTTTATCACACAATTGCTACACTCATCTAGAAGTCTTAACTTCCATTTGGCTTTCAATTTTTAACTCTCTTGTTATTTTTGGAGTGATGTTAATACTAAAGCCAAATGAGGTTAACTTCTAGATCAAAGCATTCTACCTTGAGCAGCTGGCAACCATTCTTCCTTAAAAAAAAGAAAAATCAGAAATAGTTCATACGGATTGCCTTGGGAAATTTTCTGTTCCCCATGCTCCTACTTCTGGAGTTCCTGGAAGAGAAGAGCTGGCTTTTTCTGGCTCTTATTGTCATCCAAACATGAAAGCAATTACACTTTAATTAGGGAAAAAGGCTTTCTTTTTTCCTTGTTAGGGTTCTGATGAAAAATGTAAAATGAAGATGAGTTCACATTGTAATGATTGATTCTGGCATAAGGCCATTATTTGTGGAAGTGTTTTCAATCTGGGATGGCAAGTTCCAGTCGTTCTCACTGTGAAAAGAACAATCTGACTTGTATCTGTCTCCACCTTGTAGAAAACGTTGTGGTGGGTTTTTGTCATTCAGCAAGATTGTTGAAGTAGCAGCAGATGCCCAGAGAACTAAGCAAGAGAATGACTCTTGGCCTCCTCTGAAAGGAAATATACCCCAAGCCCACCAACTCAGATCGAGGAACAGCTATATGGCAAGAGCAAACTTTCTTGAGGATACACAAGAACAAAATCAAATTAAAAGATGGAGGAAGGAGACCACCGAACAAAGAATAACATTTAAGAGGATACGCCTGAAGGATCTGACTTCCCTCATGCTACCTGGTGGATCCTGAAAGGTTGAGAGTCGGAGTGCCTAAATGTAAAACCAATATGCTCAAGTGGAGGATCTTGGCAGATAACAACACACCATGTGAATAGAGACAGAGCCTGGGCCATCTTCTGGTATGTTGGCTACCAGAAATCAGCACCGATAATTATCTATTTTTGGCCAATGACAAAGCCAAGAAGCTGCCTTCATTCTGGCAGTTTAAAGTTTGATCAAGAAGCAAGAAGGAGGAGGAGCAAGAGGAGGAGGAGGAGGATTATTGTTGGGGGTCAGGTTTTTGAAAACAGCCACAAACTTTGGCTATTTGCCCAGGTTATTTCAGCACAAACTGTTTTTCCTTGGACTGTATCTAAGACTCTCCCTTTCCTTGATTTTACCTTCACAGTGATCCTATGAAGATTAGAGGGAAAGGAGGTGACTTCTTCTAGATCTCCTTTTAATTTCACACTTGAGAAGAGAGTTGGAGTTGGTCCTGGTCCAACACTCTAAACATTTTAGTAATGGTGATGGTCAACTTTTGTTTTAGCTTGGGAGAGCATATTTTGACTTGTTTTCCTGTTCTTGGAGGTACAGTTGATGCCACGATGCCCAGAAGGTGCATGGGCATGAGATTTTTAGCCCTTAACTTCTCATGGGTTCTGGCACGTTCAGCTGTGCTCCTTGGCTTTCAACCACAAGAGCAGATTGACTATCATATGTTCTCATATGCTAGTTTTCCATTCAGGCTCCTTGTGTTCAATCAGACTTACTTCCAAGGGTTGTCTTCATCAAAGGAATTATCTTTATTTATCTGTGTATCTATGTAGGTATTATAAACCACCCAGTTTGTTTATTACAAACTTCTCAGGAGTCCCTGATGGACTAGGATGTGTATCATGTACACATAATGTTGGACATGTCACTAGAAGGCAAAATTATGAAACTGCATCTCACATAATTTGGCCATGTCTTGCAGGGGAATTCCTGGAGGAAGCTATTATGTTTGGAAGAGTTCGCAGTAAAAGCAAGCCAGGCGGTCAAAGAAGACGGTGGCTGGACACCATCAAAGCTGACACTAGCCAGAAAACCCAAAAAAGCAGTGCAAGATTGGAGGATATGGAGAGACCTGGCCCATAGAATTGCCAAGAGTTGGACGTGACTAAATGGACAAGAACATCATCCTGTATGATGTAAACACTGCAATGGTGTAGGACTTAGGAACCATTCATCCAAAATGCTCTTGTGAATGAGGGACTATGAACACAGCACCTCCCTATAACATCTGACAGCAGTTGTGTCCTTTTCTGGGGTTATATAGAGAAAGATATGGATGCTTTGAACTGTCCTCCACTTGCACGCCCACGTGCAAAGAACTATTTTGAAGCTCCAATTCAAAGAGCTGCACAACCCTAGTCAGTACATAAATAAAAATTTAAGTCATGTCACAGTGCAAAAATTCCCATGAGATCAATTACTTCACAGCTCTTAAATCTGTATAGATAAGGAGTTTGAAAGCATGCAGTATAAAAAAGAAACAGCCATGCCTCTGTTTACTCCCAGGGTGACCTTATGATTAAAAAGAGAATAATTTATTATTGAAATGAGTGAGTGGGCCAGTGTTATTTAATTCTGGCTTAGATTATTATTTCCTTGCATCTTTGATAGTTCAAACTAACTACAACTATTTAGAGATAAATAAAGGCAAAACAGCTATCTGATTATGGATTTCCTAAGGCCATGAAATGTTTTAATGGCTTATTTCAAATTTATCTGGACACTTAGTTCATTTGTAACTTTCTAAAATCAAAGTTTTAATTATCCTTTTGCTGTTTATTCCAAAAAGATGTTTTTAATTTCTAATTGAAACTTTCTTTAGCTAAGGAAGGCTTTTTTTAAAAAAATCAGACTTTTTAATTTAAAGTTTTCTAATAACTGAAAAGCAGTTAACAAGCAAATTTCCAAAAGTGACTAGAAAAGGAAGTTTAGTGGTACCTCAATACTCAACTGCTTTGAAACTCATCAAATTTGGTATGAAATGCATTCCGGTGTGAGAATTTTGTCCCAGTACTCATCATTTGTTTGGTACTCAATGAACAAGCTAGAACTTGTCAG